TCAGAAAAAGACTTTTATTTGCACTGCTGTGGGCTCAGCGGAGTTCTCTCCAGAGGCTGGGCCCTGCGTCGGGGTTCTGACCTTTTTGGATACATGATAAGCTTCCGGTACTCAGGGGTCTTTCCACACATGAGGCAGCGTGGGTGGTTGGCTGATGTGAGAAGCAAGTGAGATTACAGGAACCAAGAGGACGGTTCTGGAGGAGTAAGGAAGGGGAGGGTTATCTGCTCTTGGCTTGCCTTCTCACTCTGGGGCCAGCGTCGGGAGGGCCACTTCTTCCTCCTGCTGGTTGAGTGCTGCCACACAGGAAAGGGTGCTCTCCAGGGGCTCAGGTGTCACTAGCAGACAAGGAACCCTCACTCGCAGCCCACGCCCGCAGCCACCCTGTGTGAAACGGGCATGGTTGGGGGCCAGGAGCACGCCCATTGCCCTGAGCCCAACCTGTTTAGAGAAGGAGACCTGACCTAGGGACTGGGGGACACTCGGTGCTGAAGGGCACGATTGTGGGGAACTGACAGGAATTGGTCCTAAAGGAACCTGTGGCCACTGTCACTAATCCTGGGACAGGCGTCCACAGCACAAGCCCAGCTGCTGACCAGGTCTCCTCTCCAGGCCTGAGTCTCAGGCTCGTTCAGGGCTCTTACAGACCTATAAGAACTGCACAGGACGCCAACATACAGTGCTCAGGCTTTATTCTAGACGCTGGCCAGAGAGCTGTCAGAGGGAGTGGTGTGAAAGTGCCCACACTGGGCTCACCCTGGATGTGGGGCAGGACTCCTGCAGCTTCTAAGAAGTGTGGACTTGAGCTCTGCCAGCTGGTTATGGTGACTTTTTTCAGGTGTTTCTTCATGTTGCCTGAGTTGTCCAGGGGTCGGAAGGCTGACTTGCTGTTTACTTTCCACCAACTTTCACTTCAGTGACTGTAGTGGTCTGGATAGTTCTCACATTCATGGCTACGCCGAAGAGGAGTGCCGCTATGAGGGCAAGCGAGCGACCAAAAACGACTCTCAAATACACCAGTGACATACCACCTGCCCTCACTGACCGCCTTCTTCTTGGAGCGGGTCCGCTGTCCACACTCCCTCCCGCACCACTGTTAATGCACAGGGGAGGGTCCCAGCCTACATGGCAATGGCAGTTCCTGTTATTGTTGCACACGCCCCTGTAGTTGCATTTCGAAGGGGGACAGTTGTAGTCTATGGCCGCCAAGGTAGCATTGCAGAAGCCTTTCAGACAAAACTTTCCACCGCCGCAGGGAGTACCAGATCTCACAGCACCAACATCAGTGCTTTCTGTCCCACGGTGTGCACCCACCCCAAAACACAAGGACTCCCCGATGATTGAGTGATGGAAGCCCACGTGTTCCTGCAACCGAGGCAGATGAGTGACGTTGACACACTGTAGGCGTCCACACATAACGTCAGCGTCCGCACAACGTTGTGGCGCGAATCCAATCGTAACTTTACAGTGTCCAAATCGGTGGCCCTTTTTATTGATGCTGTAGCAGACGTCTGGCGCGCTCAGCGCCCCCTCCCCAAAGATCTCCTTGCAGTGCATACTGCGGTCGGTACAATTGCCCTCATAGCAGTAGCCGTCCTCAGTGCACGGGGTTCCATCTTGCAGATAAAAGTCACTGGGGCAATTCGTGTCCTTCCCCATGCAGTACTCCGGAAGGTCACAGATGTTCTGGATCGGCCTGCAGAGCGTCCCTGCAGGTGCTTGGGTGCAGTTTGTGCAGCACGTTTCTCTGTTACAAATGCTCCCGGGTGAAAAGCGGCAGTCACTTTCGCAGCACGTGTTGCTGTAACACTGCTTGAAGGTCCCACAGTCACACTGCTCTTCGTTTTCCACCACAGAGTTTCCACATCGAATGGTTGTCAGGCTACTGTTTGAATACACCAGCTGCCCTCTTTCTTGGAAGAGGCAGAGTTGTATATTATTATTAAGTACGTGTGCTGTGTGTTGAAAAGAACAGTTACTGAATGAATCTGTCAACACAGGGTATCTGTACATGATGCAGGTGGCCCTTCTCTGGCAAACACACTCCACCGTATCTAACCACAGACCAAAAGTGGTCCCTATTTGGTTGGAGGCTATAATTGATAACAGTAAATAATGTCTGGATAGTTGACCCAGAAAGATCAGATTTCTATTTCCACACAGCGTGTATAGCTCTGGTTTAAAATTAACTTCATGGGGTCCATCTCTTTTCACAATTATGCCTGGATATGGGAGATAATGCTTATGAATGTTGCGAGCATAATCATTAGCAAATGGACCACCTGGCACTTTATAGTTGTTCATGTCGGTTGGCTCTCTCACATTGTAAATGATCAGGAGGCCGATGTAGTACCTCATATTAAGACTTCTGAACATGGCGTCTATCATACTACCTAGATGTACCAGGTATTGGGCACACTGTGACACATTGTTGTACAGAGTATAAATGGAATGGGCACTCATAAGACAGCCTTTCATAGCTCCAATGTGGGATGCATAGATCTTACTGCTGACCCTGGAGGCTGCACTGGGGTTCTGGTCAGAGAACAGCGGGTACCTCTCAGCCTTGTGTCCCAGACTGGACATGGGTCCTATGGCGTTAGTGTCGGCTACGATCTGAGAAATGATGTGTTCAAACCTCTGGGAATCCTTGAGGGGTTTGATTTCATAGGCAAGGTCGTCCACCTTCAGGATGCCTTCCAGGCCCCCATAGCACGTGTCCACGGTGACCATGGAGAGAGGGACGTCCTCCAGGTAGCCCAGGTAGTAACAGTCGAGAGGGACAAAGGGGTAGTCCACCTGCAAGGCCCCCTGGTCATCCTGAGTCATCATCACCAGCTGTCCAGGCCAAAAGAGTCTCTTGCGCCGCATGTGGAGGACGTGTCTCTGGCCCCCAAACCTCAGGCTGTAGGAGAGCCAGCCTGCTGCCCGCACGGCTTTGCTGTGGTGCAGCTCCTTCGTGGGAATCACCACCTCGGAGGAGATGTAGCGCCAGGAGGGGCGACCTTGAGAACACTGGGTGGGAGCCAGCACCACCCAGAGCCCAAGCAGCAAGAGGGGCGTCCTCAGGGTGACGGGGCCCCCTGCCAACCTCATGCCCGTGGTGGGGGAGAACCGTCGATGTGAACGGAGAGAGGGAGGGTCCTCAGTGAAGCCTGGTCCGCACCATCTGCTGTGGCCACTTCCTGCCAAGGGCATGATGACAGAAAACCCACCCTGGCTGGGTCAGCTGAGGCAACAATGACAGGGTGTGGCAGTGGGTGGGGCTGGACCGGCATTCAGCTGGGGTGGAGGTGGGGGAGGTGGGAACCCTGTCTGTGGATGCTGAGGTGGAAATAAGAGACAAGGAAGCAGACCATGTCTCCATTGCATACATGTCAGGCTGTTGTATCGCAAATCAGCAAACTGGACAAGATGCCTAGTGAGCCAATTAGTTAGGAGTCATCTTTATTGTGCAGAAGTTCAGAGCAGATTACCTCTGTCAAATTCTGAATAAACACAAGAGGGAGTATTTCCTTTTTATATCCTTCTAGTTTGTGTAAGATAGCTTATGCCTACTTGATATCTCTTAAGGTGTACATATGTGAAGAACCTTGAAGAAATAATAAAATTCATTCGAGCGACAAAAACACAGTATATGATGATGAAAAATACATTTATTTTTTAATGTCTACTTGTACACTGATAGTCTGACAGAAAACTTTATGACTCCATTTGATATTATCAGTGGGACTTTTGCTGCTGCATCACTGATGACAGAGATTTCACATCAGGTTTATATTTCGTGACCTTCAGAGATATGCACGAGCTACTACTTTTATCCGTCAGGCTACTCCTATTATGAGACTTAACAAAATTCATCACTGAGCCCTAACTGGTTTGGCTCAGTGGATAGAGCGTTGGCCTGCGGATTCAAGGGTCCCAGGTTCGATTCCAGCCAAGGGCATGTACCTTGGTTGCGGGCACCTACCCAGTAGGGTGTGTGCAGGAGGCAGCTGATGGGTGTTTCTCTCTCATCGATGTTTCTAACTCTCTATCTCTCTCCCTTCCTCTCTGTAAAAAATCAATAAAAGAATTTTAAAAAATGCATCACTGAGAACAAAGATTCACAAGCGTATGTGGATGAAAACATGGAGAGTAACGCTGTTGCAAAGATTTTTAAACAGAAAAAAATTTCTGGAGTGGCATTCCAAGTCCTCAATAGTTCGTTTTCGACACTTCTCTCTGGTACTCCTGTCTCTAATCGCTTTGTTTTTCAATGTTTTCCAAGTCAACTCTAAGGTCAATAAATTTCTGCTTCCAAATTGAGCCACTCTGAAATTCAATAAACTGCATTTCAAAGTCAGCCATGTCTATCCATGAAAACATTTGTAAGTTTAGTTCCTCCAGTTTCATGCTGTCTGGAAACCTCATGAATTTTGCTGTCTCTTCCAGTTATCTTAATTTTGCAAATCTTGAGAAGAACTGCTCAATAGTTGACTCGATGATGTTTAAAAACAGCTTTTGAAGACTTTGACAGTCAGTTCTGTCATCTTTTGGGAGGTCTTTGATGTGCCTCTTGAGGTTTGGGAAATATCAAAATCTCTCACCATCCACATCCCTCTTAAAGACTTCCAGTTTCTTTTCAAAAGCCTTTATGTTACCAAACATAACATCAAGTGTCTTGCCAGTTCCTTGTAATTTAACATTTAAGTCATTCAAATGTTCACAAAAATTGTAAATGGAAGATTATACGAGAGGGTTTCGCGTGCCAGCAAAAGGTACTGGCGTGCCATGTTTGGCACACGTGCCAGGGGTTGCCCACCCCTGTCCTAAACCTTGACTAGCTTAATATCCTATCTGAGTTATTAACTCTTGTCTTTTGCCGGTAATAATACAAGCTTGTAAACCTTCTAAAATGTCTTGTCCCCATAAGTTGACTGCAATTCCAGAGACAATATATGGCTGAAACCATCCTGTTTGTCCTTCCTCATCTTTCCACTTTAACACCGCAGCGCTGCGTTACGTGTTATCAGGAATTCCAACACCCGTGACAGAGCCCATAACTTCTACCATGGACCAACTTGGAGGCCAGAATTCTTGACTGATGACACGAATATCTGCTCCAGTGTCTACTAGACCTTTCAACATTTTCCTCTCTATTCTTAGATTAATCATAGGAAGGGTCTTGCTAATTTCCTGTATCCATTATGTATCTGAGCTTCCAAATCTTGGTGTCCCTCTCTTCCTATTTATAACTTCACCTTGCTGAATATAAGGCAAAATCAGGAGCTGAGCAATTCTTTGTCCTGGAATAATTTGCATAATATGTTTGCATGCTAAAATTACTTTGATTTCTCCCTTATATTCTGAATCTATGACTCCAGGAAAAACAGTTAGTCCTTTGAGCGTATTTTCACTCTTTCCTAGGACTAAACCTGACATTCCTGGTGGCACAAGTCCCCAAATTCCTGTAGGAACAACTTATCTAGCCATATCGGGGATCAGGGTGATTGTTATTGTGCTATTAAGATCAAAGCCAGCCCTAACAGGTTTGGCTCAGTGGATAGAGCGTCAGCCTGCGGACTGAAAGGTCCCAGGTTCGATTCTGGTCAAGGGCATGTACGTTGGTTGCGGGCACATCCCCAGTAGGAGTTGTGCAGGAGGCAGCTGATCGATGTTTCTCTCTCATTGATGTTGCTAACTCTCTATCCCTCTCCCTTCCTCTCTGTAAAAAATCAATAAAATATATTTTTTTAAGAAAGAGCCTTTCAAAAAAAAAGATCAAAGCCAGCATTTCTTTCTGTGACTTGAAGGAGGGAATCTACTGTGGTCCTGGCAGGGTGGAACTTCCCCTTTTTTAATAACGGGGCTGGGGGGAGCCCCTCCAGCTGTTTCCCTGCGGCTGGCCATTTCTTATGTCTTGATTTAATGGCTGGCCATTTCTATGAAATTTAGATCGACATTGATTGGCCCAATGACTCCCCTTCTTACATCTGGGACATAGACCTGCATCACCTGAGTTGGGAGGCGGAATGATTACGCCTTCTCCCGGAGTGTCACCTTTTGGCTCTTACGTTCCTTTTTTCAATGTGCTTGTTGTCCACAATTGAAACATAATTTGTTTCTTGTTGTGATTGCGGCAGCTCGTAAGCTTGCCTGAAAAATGCCCGACCCCACATTCTGACGTGCTCGAATCGTTTCCGTAATGGTACTGTTTCTTCTTAGAGGCATTAGACATTTCTTACAATCAGCATTGGCATTTTCATAAGCTAATTGCTGAGTCAAAACATCTCCTGCTGTCTCATGTTGAATCTGCCTTCTCACTGCTCCAGTGACGCGAGCTACAAAATCAGAGAATGACTCAGTGGGCCCTGCATGCACTTACTACAGGCTCCTTCAGGTTCCCCTTTTGCTGGTAAAGTCCACCAGGCTTTTCGTCCACAAGGTCTAATTGGCTCATACGCCTGCTGGACGTCACTAAATTGTCGCTGTCCTGCAAGCATCTCAAAAGTTATGGGAACATTCTACCCGAGATTTGAAGAAGCTTGCTCTTGACATTTCTCTAAAAATTCTCCTTTCTAGAGCAAATAATCTCCTCCATCCAGACTAGCACAGGCTAGAGAATACCAGTCATAAGGAGCTAGGAATGCTTCAGAAATGTTAGTTATAATTTCTCCAGTAAATGGAGCATTTGCACCATTCTGTATTACACTAACACTCAAGGCCTTTATCATTTTAAAGTCAAATCTTTCATGCTGTCTTATTATTTGATTTGGGAATTGTGGATTAGCTACCTGTATAATAGGAAAAGCAAGTCTATCTTCTACTGTCATGTCCTTTAATCCTTGTCTCATGGCTTTTTGCATAGGTGATTCTATTAGTGGCGATTAAATGTTTCAGAATCAGGACACGAAGGCCACTCTTTCAATTTATCTTTCTGCTTCTCTTTAGAAGCAGAGGGTGCAAGGGGAGGAGGTCTTTCTTCTTTAAAAAGCTCTAACAAATGCATTACCGTTTCCCACAAAGAGAAACAATTTGGAGGCAAATATTTCCCCTGCTGCTGAGCTACCTTCAAGTTCTGACCTATCCATTCCCAACATTCAATATCCAATGTACCCTCATCAGAAAACCATGGATTATGTTCTACTAGAGGCCCAGTGCACAAAAATGTGTGCACTCGGGGGGTCCCTCAGCCCGGCCTGTGCCCTCTCGCAGTCTGGGACCCCTCAGAGGATGTCCACCTACTGACTTAGGCCCGCTCCCTGGGGAATCGGGCCCAAGCTGGCAGTCAGACATCCCTCTGGCAGCCCAGTAGCCCTCGGGGGATGTCCATTTGCCAGCGGGGAGCAGGCCTAAGCTGCAGTCGGACATCCTTAGCGTTGCTGAGGAGGCGGGAGAGGCTCCCACCGCCACTGCTGTACTGGCAGCCATCAGCCTGGCTTGTGGCTGAGCAGAGCTCCCCCTGTAGGAGCGCACTGACTACCAGGGGGCAGCTCCTGCATTGAGCGTCTGCCCCCTGGTGGTCAGTGTGTGTCACAGTGACCAGTCATTCCCAGTCATTGTGCTCTTAGGGTCAGTTTGCATATTATCCTTTAACTATATAGGATAGAGGCCTAGTGCGTGGGTGGGGGCCGGCTGGTTTGCCCTGAAGGGTGTCCTGGATCAGGGTGGGGGTCCCACTGGGGTTCCTGGCAAGCCTGGGTGAGGAGCTGATGGCTGAGGAGCTGATGGCTGTTTGCAGGCTGGTCAAGCCCCCCCCCCCCCACACACACACACAGTGGGGACCCTCACCCCATGGAGGTTTGGCCAGCCTGGGTGAGGGGCTGATGGCTGTTTTCAGGCTGGCCACACCTCCTTTAGGGTGGAGGGTCCACTGGGATGCCTGGCCAGTCTGGGGGAGGGGCTGAGGGCCGTTTTCAGGCTGGCCAAGCCCCCCGGCGACGGAAGCTCCCAGCCTCTCTTTTTTTCTTTTTCTTTTTTTTTTTTTATCCTAGGGTTTATTTACCTTCCATAATTGAAACTTTGTAGCCTTGAGAGGAGCTTAGAGCCAGCCAGGGCGGGCGGGAGGGAAGCCTCCTGCTCGCTCCAGCTCCGTGGCCATGGCCGGCTGAAAG